CTGAGTGAAACAAATGGCCGCTCATTCTGCTGCGAGTGCATTTCCTGAACACTAATTTCTTGTGTAAGCACATCTTTGCTGCCAACGTGCAGCAGGGGAACTGTTGAGGGAAGGTTCTCTCTTGGTCGTGGTTCACCGAGTGCAGCGCCGATTGTAGCTCGGCAGCGAAAACACACACACACACACACAACCAGCGACCAGGCGAGCACATACAGCGCCCTGTTCACAGCGCCTGCCACCGAGCCACATCAACACAGGGGACAAGCTCCTCCACACTCAGGGCAGGAAACTTTTTTTTTTACCCCCGCTGACCACATCTTAATGGCGACTGCCAACTTTTACCTTTTCACGAGCCAACTCTTTGGTTTGCAAAGAAAAGAGGCTTTTTGAATCGGACAAGCTGACGAGTCACAGTTAAACCTGACCACAGTCTTACTGCACTTTGAGAAAACGTATATGGAGCTGGGTTTATGTGTAAGTTGCACATTTACACACATGCTACTTAGAAAAGGGTTGGTTAAAATATCTGTTTACTTAAAACAGTGTTTGTGTTCGGACGAGAGGCTCAAACACAGAGAACATGTGTGTTAACGGTTAAAGCAGCGGGTTAGTGTCCCCAAGTAAAGCAAATCAATACATTTAAAAAAAGTTTGTTTTGCTCACATTTATTACATGGTTCACTATCAGTGTTTTACAGCGATGATGATAGTTTCACCAGCAATCGATGGCTGATATTACACCTGATAAGAGCAGCTCGACTACGGTGTCACACACTTTCATAGGAGAACCAACTTTATTTCAAAATGAACGCAGCCGAGCTGAAGCTTACTTGGATCTTAATGGGCCAGGTGAAGTTGCTCACATAGACGAAGAACGTAATGTTTGGGCTGTTACGGAAATCAAAGTTCTCGTTGGAGAAGCTGTCTTTGAACTCCTTGATGTTGCTCCGAGAGACGATGGGGATCTCCTCGCCGGTCTGAGTTCCTGCTAAAGGACAGAAAGAAGAACGGAGGGGAGGGACAGAGTTGGTGGTAGTGGTGGTGGTGGTGGTGGTGGGGGGGGGGTTATCTTAAAACAGTTCATTTCTAAAGTTCGGCGATAGTTAGTGATATGAAATGAAAAGAAGCAAATCCCCATATTTGAAATGCTAGATTCAGAGAAGTCTAGAGGATGATTCTGTGATTATGGAAACTGGTGGAAGTTTTCAGCTCCGTCAGTGAGACCTACCACTGAAGCTTGTGGCCCAGGTTATGTTCAGGTTGAAGTTCTTGGAGGCGTTTATAAACATGTCCAGATCCCGGTTTGGCTGTGGAGGGAGAGAAAACAAGCACCATCATCATCATCATCTTCATCAATATTACCACTACTGGTGTCTTCATCTTCACAATGGTCCACGTATCACACAAACCCTGAGTGTGAGCAGAGAAAACCGACTGAAATCAAATCTGCAGCAGGTAAAAAGGCCGCTCTGCTCCACAGTTAAACACGAACAGGCGGCTCCAGTTCAGTTTGCAGCTGCACAAACAGTAACTGTCTTGCAGGCCAGAGTAAATTTACACAGCTAATGGAAGTGGAATTAGCAAAACAAATGTTTGAGCAACAATCAGTGATGAAAATGAGATCTATTAAAATCCTGTGAGTGCAGTGGTAGAGTGATATCAGCTTTGATAATGTCGGACCGGTGTAAATTAAGACTTAATGAATGACTAAGATTGATTGAAAGACAGAGTTTGTTAATAATTGATTAGTTTCTCTCACTTAGATTGCTCCGGTGGAGATGAAGAATTTAAGAGAATCCATAATTAAACATCTAACCATCTTAACATGTACACTTCATAAATCCTGTGTCTTTCTAAAAACAAATAAATCCAAAGGCATTTTGAAATGACGAGAAAATGTTGTCGTCAATGCCGACAAAGAGATCGACTCAAACTTTGTTTGGTTTCAGTTTCAGCTCCAGATGTTGCTGTGAAAACATCTGTGTGATTGTGAGACGAGTGTAGTTCACACTACGACACCACACTTCAGTCAGATGTCATCAATGTCTGTGTGTGTGTGTGTGTGTGTGTGTGTTCTCAGTTGTGCTAGATAAGATTTTTTTTCTGATGAGAAGTTTGGTTTTCACAGAACAGGATTATATTTCATTTACGCTTCTGCACATTTCTCTTGACAAACTCTAAAGACTCAAATGGAGAAGTGTCCAGCGAAGAAACTTCCGTTGTTTGACAATGGGCGAGGACGGATAAACAAAAGAATCCTCATCGTCACCACGCGGTGCTGACTTTAACACAGATGACAGCTGCAGTGACGGTGGGGCGTTCACTGTCAGAGACGTACCTCCTCAGGCGTGGCCACGAAGTTGATGGCGGTGTAGTAGCGGTCGTCCTCCTGTGACAGGCTGAAGGTGAACTGGTAGTCGATAAGGAGCGTGTCTGTTTTAGGTGATCGAGCCGCAGGTGAGGAAGAGCGTGCAGGGGATTACAAAAGAAGAAGAAGAGGAAGAAGAGGAATAGCTCGATCAGTTGAGTTTGAAAGTCACACAGGAACATGAAGTCAGATGCTGCTCAGGGCAGGAAACCGTACAATATATGAAATATCACTATGTTTACCAACAGAAAGTCATACATGTACTCAGAATGTACCATTTTTCTTTCCACCTCCAATGATCTGGAAACTTTAAAATCCATTTCTCTTGCAGACTTTATTGACCTGCAGAGAAAAACTCATTTCCTCTGTCACTTAACGGCCACGCTGGCTGCTACAGCCCAGGATGTTGAGATGCTTTCTCAGGCTCCTTCAAATCAATGCAGGAAAATAACATCGGCTCCCGATTCAAAACCAAAGGACATTGAATATACAGGTGGTATGGAACTTTCATACCTCCAGGATACAAACCTCAAGATGCATCACATCACACAATATTTCTGGATTTGTTCCTTTGTCTGAATAAAAAGAATGAAACGCAAAGTCCACACAGATAATGTTCGTTATTTTAGCTAAATAACGTGTTCTTAAAGATAATTTCATTATAAATCAATGAGATTATCAAGATAGTTTACTCATGTTCTACTCGTGTCCTGCATGAGAAGAACATCCTGAATTTAAAGTGAGAAAAAACAGAGACAAGCAGCGAATCTGAATCTTCACATTTTCAGAAGATGGAAAAATCACAGCGTTAAAACTTGTTGATAATTTTCTGTAAAAAGTGAACCTGATAAGATTCAGGTGGTTGAGAGACATGTCTGTTGTGAACAGACGAGTCAACAAAGACCACACTTATAAAACCACACTGAAGGAAGTGAGTCTGTGAGACACTGGTACAAGGTTGTCGACTAACTGGTCGACGTCCTTCTGTACCAGAGGATTGTTTGAGAACCATGAGGACACAGTTTGTTTAATTCCATGGAAACACCTATTTTACTCTCTCTCCTCCATCACATCCACAACTGACAAGAATAATAATGACGGGAGACTAATCTGCAGCGTGGACCACCGGATCGTCGTCGCAGCGGGGGAGAGAGAAAATCTGTCCTTCAAAAGCTCCTCATTCTTCTGCGATTCACTTTCATCTGCGTCTCCATTCTTCCCACCTGCGACTTCCGTTTCCTTACTTCTTTAAACATCAAACTGCTCGAGAGCTCGCTTTGATTCGGGAGCCATGTAGCTGTCGCGTCACTGACCCGAACAAGGAGGACGGCGCGGGCCTCGCGCTGCCCGAACCACCCTCACTCACAAGTTGTTTAATTGGAATTCCACTTACAGTAGCATGTTCCTTTGAGGGGGTTGCCTTGGTAACGGTTCTCCACTTCACACCTGAGAGAGAGAGAGGTGTAAGACGGATGGAGAGAAATGGGACGAAAATAGGAGGAGAGAAAAGAAAAGAGAGGGGAATCGGGACAGTTAAATTCAGTGGATGACAGGAGAACACACAGTCCACAGCGATGTGGCGGCAGCTGGACGAGGCCGCGTGAAGATGACGAATGTCACGGACAGCTACAAAAACATCAGGAATTTAAAGCTCGTGCAGAAATAACCCCGTGTTCACACTGATGACCGTTCATCGGAAACATTATCTCTGGTTTGAATGGGTTTGGGAGGCAGGATGGTGATGAAGGCCCGGGTTTAGAAAATATTTTTAAAAAACAGAGCTGCACGCTCTAATGAACAGCTGCTGCTGTAGAGAGCCAAATAAGAAAAAACTGAACACGCTGGGTGGAAGAATCTTTTCTTACAATCTCACCATGTTTGCACGTTGGCCTTGCAAATGTAATTGTTATTATTATTTTGAAATCTGTAAATACAGTTTTATAATTGGTTTCACATCTTAATGGGAACATTGAACCTTTGCTGCTGATTTTTATTCTTAATAAGTTTGATTACCTCGCTCTTCTTTAAGACTGATGCAGTTGAGGAATCGACCATGTAACGAGACACATTCAGGCTCACTGGCACACAAACGTCGGCTCCGCTCTCGCTTTACCTGGCATTGTGAGGTTAGCTCAGGCTAGCTCCTAATGCTAAATGTGGAAGTGCCCGCCGGACAACTAATGAGGCCCTTTAAATAACTTCAGGCCTACTGATGTTTTCAGGAGAGTCTCTGTCCACGCGCCCTTCGATTTACAAAATATCTCCTTTCAAACGGGAAGACAAAATGTAACAAGCATGCCGAGCCAGTAGGTGGCAGTAAAGTCTACATCAACGATACATCAGATATCTGAGGAGAAGGTTGTGAGAATGCTCAGTGAACGTCAGTGAGTTAGTTCTTGTTTCACACTAACTGACCAACTGCCTGATGGGTAATCAGAATCCCCGGGATTTGGACTCAGGTTCTCCTTCACAAAAAAAGGTTTCCTGTAAATGTCCCCACGGTGATGAAGAGCTATTTGAAGGGCCTGTAAGCACCAGTCCGCTGTGCACATGTTACGCATGTGATGGACTTAAAAAAGAAAGCTCCCCATTCTCCCCCTCAGGCAGATTTTATTGCAGCAGACTGAGACATTACAGTTACAAGGTTTTTCCTAAAAGTGCCAACACAGCAGAAGAGGAGAAGGAAATGTACAGAGGCGTGGCAGAGAGGAGGAGGAGGAGGAGGAGGAAGAGGAGGAGGAGGAGGAGGAGGGTCGTAAAACTCACAGGTGGCAGCGATCTCCTTTAATGCCCTTGGTGGTGCAGAAGCACTTGCCGTTGTTGGGGTTGCACATGCTGGCATGGCCGTTACACTTGCAGGCTGAACAGAAGAAAAACCAACATGCAAATTAAGTTCAGAAAAAAAAAAACACACGTCAGCTCCTCTTATTTGTAAAAATCTCAACTATGAACCGAATATCATTTATCCAATTGAAACACCTTTTATTTACGTCCCCAGATGCAGCCACATGTTCCCAGTTCATCGTCACTCACTCGGATATTCTGCGGACATTTTACTAGCGAGGAAAAGTTACAGAAAATTTGCGGATTTACGGGCAAGGCTGAAAGCAGCTGACGATCTCCGTGGTGAGCACAGATGCCAAATATGGATTGGTGGTTTTGGGGGTTAAACATTAACGTAGCTCATCCTTTGCATTAGCGCTGTTTATTACTTTTAGAACGAACGAGCCCCCGGGCTGTAAACAGCTGCGGAAAGTGAAGAAATCATGTGTAACAGCTGGTGGAGCGATAAATACAGCAGTAATTTACGTATATGTTTTATCTTGATTATTTGTACATCATTTCCTTTTTGACGTATTGATTCTCTTTAATGTTCACAATGCTTTGAATCAACGTCAGGATCAGATGTAGTGTGATAAATGTCGAGACGTAAACAATGAATGTATAATACTGACAAGATGAATATATACAGAGTTTATCATTGACGGGCGCTGATGTAGGAGTGAGTAAATATATATATACAGCTGAGAGCCGTGTGGAGGTAGAGGTAAAGAAATTTGTAAAAGTGAGGATGTAATTTATAGGCGAGCTAAATTAAGCTGTGGAAGAACCGGACGATTGATTTGTTGTCCGACTGACTGACCGTCAGTATTAGCCGCAGAGCGGAGTAAATCTTTAATATCCCAGGGGAACGCTTTACTGCGCAGCCAGGAATCAGGAAAATGGCCGACATAAAACTGAACTGTAAAATACTGACAAGTTAAATGAAGCTGTGCGCGCAGAGACTGACTGGTTGATTTACCGCTGGACCGAGCGGCCCCGCGGATACTCACGCTGGCAGCTGCCCCCGTTGGTCGGATCTCCATAGAAGCCGGAAATGCAGCTCTCGCAGTGACGGCCAGTTGTCAGGTCCTCGCACTTCTCGCACACGCTCTCGTTGACACACTGACTGTGACCGTTACACTGACAAGCTGCGAAAATAGGAAACAGAGCCAATACTGCGTGAACATCACACACACACACACACACACGTACAGTAAAGTGAGATTATCTTCGCCTGCCAGGTTTATTTGTGAAGATTTAACCAGATGGATCCATTAAAGTGAGATTCGTCACAACAGCCACTAAAGTTTATTGGAAAGTGTATCACTCAATTTAAGTGTAAT